GCTGTGCTGGCAGGCTGGTAAGGCAGGCTGCCAGCCTTTGTGCCAGGCGCCAGTTGGCAGCCTTGGCAGCCAAGGCAGGCTGCCAGCCTACCAAGGGCCTTGATGCCGGTTTGGTGTTGTGGGGACCAAGGCTTGGAGCCAACCCTTGGGGAGCAAGGCAATGGTCCCCCCCTTTGGTGATGGTCCTCACCTAACCTCTCCTCTCCATGTGCCACTTGTTGATTGTTGATTGCATTATCTTTTAATTTATTTTTGATTTAAATAAATTAGTTGAAAAATGCAAACTATCCCACATTGATCATGAATGGGAGTGCAAGTTGCATTTCTTTATAAATACCCCATGATTGGGCATTTGGAAATCAACTTGAGTGGAACTCAAAAAGGCATCTCTAATATTGAGGAAACCTTTAAGTTCGTAAAACTCTAGTTTTATCTTTGGTCAAGTCTCGACTAACCCTCGAGACGAAGACCGTTCGGGTCGGGTCGTGGGTACGAGCCGTTGGAGGCCGTCACGCTTGTGAGGCTTTAAGCTTATAAGTAAGAGCTCGATTTACGAGCGAAGCACGCTTCAAGGGTATAACTTCTTTCTCCCTTCTCTAAATTATTGTTTAATTATGTTTATGCATGCTTTACTACTTTAATTATTGGGGCGGGTCTTGGGAGGTTTCTATTCCGCATAGAGATGGTCTCTACGAAACCCAACACACCAACCTCCCTAGTAAGAGAACTACTCATTAGAAATGAATAAGAAAGCCATTAAAGAAAGAACCAAGTCAACCAACTATATTAAACAAGCATTAAACAACTAATTTAATCAAAGAGATAAACAAAACAAAAGTAATATAGATTGAGATAGAGTAAGAAATGTTAGATAGAGTTATGAGAAAGAGAATAATATTGGGAAGGTTGATTATATTGAAGAGTATACAAGAGTATTTATATTACATAAGTAAGCATTAGACTATGACTAGATATATTAGTCAGAGTATTTGCATAGGTACATTAGCTAAGAATAAGGGATATTTTTTACAACCTAAATGAGTAAATCAAGGGACTACACAATAAACTATAAACAGTAATTAATAATGATAATGATCATTACCTTTACACGCCCCTGCAAGATGGATTGCCGAAGGAAAGGTACAATCTTGTAAAATGAATGTCCTTCTTGATTGTTGATTGCCACACCAAGATATTGGTGGTTCTTCAATTGAGAGTTGCACATACCAAATTAAAGGTGTTAAAGGAGAGAGAAAGATTTTATTTTTTCCTGATGAGGAGTTGCGTGAAGCAGGGTAGGAGGTTTTTTTTTTTCTTAAGGGGGGGGGGGTTTGAGATATAGAGGAAGGATGAAATTTTGATCATTTTCATAGGAGAATAATTACATTTAGCATCATTGAAAGAAAGGAGTTTAAGTTTCTCCATAAAATTTTGGAGAAGTGAGTTTATGTTTGGCAACACTTGGTAGATAGACTACATACGTTGGCCAAAAGAGATTGTTTCTCCATAAGGGGGGGGGGGTTTGGAGAAATGAGTTTATGTATGGCAACATTTGATAGATAAATTACGGGGTGCCGAAAAGGGATTGTTTCTCCATAAGAGGTTTGGGAAAAAAATGATAATTATTAGCATCTCTTAGTATATGAAATACGGGGTGCTAAAAGAGTTGAACGAAAGTTTGAGGTTTCAAGCTTTCCGAGAAAGAAGTTTGATATGGTCACCATCATTTGTCGGCGTCGACAAAGGTTTTTAATAGTGTAGCCATAAAAGGCAAAGGTTTTGATAGTGTAGCCATAGAATAAGAGGTTCTAGTAGCGGAAGCAAGAAAAAAAATGGATCAATAGCTAATGATACCATGATAGAGTTATGAGAAAGAGAATAACGTTGGAAAGGTTGATTATATTGAAGAGTATACAAGAGTATTTATAGTGCATAGGTAAGCATTAGACTATGACTAAATACATTAGAGTATTTGTCTAGGTACATTAGCTAAGAATAAGGGATATATTTGATTATCAACCTAAATGAGTAAATCAAGGGATTACACAATAAACTATAAACAACAATTAATAATGATAGTGATGATTTAGTCATCATTATCCTTTACAATATTCATTGGATTATTGGTGAGATTTCAAAAACAATTGTCACATTTGAATCTTCAATCTCACAATCCTCCATTGATTTTCCTCGTATTTTCTCTCTAAAATTAGTCCTAAACTAACCTAAAATCAATAGATCGAGAGAAAAAAATCTAATAAAAACCTTGAATCAAAGTTAAGAGAACTAATTACCCCAAAATGAATATTTATACTATATAAGGAAAAGAATTAAAGTTTATTATAAATATGGATAAAAAGTAAAAGATAAATAAAGAAAAGGAGTCAATAATCTCTAAGATGTCCCATTTGAACCATCACCAAGGCAATCACTCTAAGGGGAAGAAGTAGGTGAATAATCTCCAATGCACAATGCCTCAATATCATGCATTAAAGATGGTAATAATTGGGCCTTAAATTCATCCCTTCTCCATGAAGCATCCTTATTGGACTCACTTATAAAGTTAAAGGTTTCCGTTTGACCTTTTTTGAACTTCTTGGAACATAACTTCAAATGACTTCAAAATAGACTCCATCTTAAGTTCTTCTAGAGTATCAAGGTAAAAGGCAGATTTCACACAATAGTTTCAGACACTCCATATTATAAGGGCCTTAAAACTCATCATAAAGGAGAAGATCACGATCAGGACCATGGCATACATTCATCATTGGTATTATGGGGTACGTTTGAAGACCAGACTGGATAGTCCTTAGTCGACCCTAAGTGATGTATTTTATGTAAATAGGAAGATGAATTCTTGAAAATAAAAAAGACTTTAATGATTTTCATGCTTGATAATCATAAATTAGGCTTAAATCTCTTTAATTATTAGGGTGGTTGTTTGAGTATATTTGACAAGGAAAAAAAAACACACACACACACACAACATATGGAGAATATTAATCTTTTATATAGTAGTTTTTAGCTATCACGGCGTACACAAACTAGTTCTTTCATGACTAATATTAAACTAGGGTCAGGGGTTGTATTCTCGACTACGCATATGCCTCCACGTCCTATATTACCAATTTGTTTAACTCATCAATCTCTCTATATCAAACGTTACAACATGCAAATCTTTATATAGCGAATATAAACTCTAGAATATTCAAAGAACAAAAGATAATTATTCAACTATCGATCAAAAGAGAAGATAAATAACAACCAGATATGCATCACTAAGTAAGGGCATCATTAACTTATTTGCATTTTTCACTAACAACCGCTTCACCTTTTAACGTTCATTCAAACCTTCGCTGTCTAACCCATTAACCTTTTCTTGTTCATTCAAACCATCACTTTTCTAAATCATTAACTACATAGTGCTAGGCTGCTAGCACATATACTAATCTTTAAATGTGAGCAAATAAATCTCGCTTTTATTTAAATTCTGTGTAAAGTGAGAACGAACGCTTTATTATGATTATGAGACAGAGAGAGTTATAAGACTATCACGCTACTCCATAACATAGTCGAGCAATTAGAGGTGTCAAAACCTAACCATACCCCAAAAAATATTCTATTCAGTTTGACTCGCATGGACATAATAATTTTGCATGACTTAAGTTTGAAATTAGACCCAACCTCACCAAACCCGAACACCCAATTTTTTTATTTTTTTATTTTTTTTTTTTTAAAGGTAAGGAGAAAGACTCTGACCGTACCTCAACCCTCACGGTTTTTTGGTCTGGTATTTGCGAATCTGACACTAAGGCTTTGTTCGGTTCAATATTAGTAAAGGAAAAGAAGAGAAAGGATGGGAAGGGGAAAGAAAGGAAAAGAAGGAAGGTGATTTTATTTTCCAATATTTGGTTAATGAAAGGAAATGAAGGGAAGAGAAAGGAAATTGATATTGTACAACTTTTATTATTCTCTTTCTAGTGGAATTCCTCCAATTTTGGGAGGAAAGGAAAGCCAAAATTTTGTTAAGAGACTTTCCTCCCACTTCCCTTCCTTTCCTTTGAATTCTCATGTCATTTAGTCAACCAAACATGGGAATGTGATTAAAACTAGGCCTGTTCACGGATCGGATATCTGATCCGAAATCACATTTCGGATCGGATATCTGAATACTCAGATATCAGAAACTGATATCCAAATCCGATCCAAAAATTTCAGATATCCGAAATTTTCGGATCGGATGCTTCCGATATCCATTATCCAATATTAAGTATAATTGATTATGATTACTTTCTAAATTTTACAATTTTTCCGCTTTTTTATCGTTAAGTTGTACAACATATTTTAACAAAATAGTAGTTTTTTTGTAATAAATTTATCATAAAAAATATATTAAGAATATTATAATAAGTTAATAATACAAGGTTAGTTTTATATGAACAATTCAAAAAATTTATATATATTTCACTATTCATCCTTTATATCTCGGATATCGGATATCCAAAATTTTAAAAAACAATATCCAAATCCACATTCGATATACGCTTTTTTCGGATCGGATATCCGGTCTGAAATGAAAGTTTGGATCGGATATCCAAAAATTCGGATCGGTTGCGGATTGGATTATTGAATTTTCGGATCTCATATAGTTTTGTACAAGCCTAATTAAAACAATTTTCTTTCCTTTTTTTTCCCATCCAAATCCCTTCAACCAAAAAGGGCCTTTTAAGAGTGAGGGGATTTAAAGGGTAAGAGATCCCCATCCTCATAGTGTCTCTAGTGGGGATTGAACCCTCAACCTTAAGGTTAGAAGGTATAATCCTTATCTCTAGACTAAACTTAGCTTGGTACCCGAACACCCAAATTAACACCTCTACGAATAGTCAGTAACATAACAATACAAAATGACTAAACTACCCTTGATAGTGGTAAATAAACCTGCTACCGGGTAGTACTGTAGCTGTATATCGTGTTTTTCTTAATATACCTCCTAGATCTTTTCTTTTTTTCCCTTTATTAGATCTGTTTCACGTTTGCGCTGCTTCGTTGCACTCACCCTTTCTCTCTCTCCATTGGAGCGTACTCTCAATTCTCCATTGAAGCGGCTTGCGAGCTTTCTCTCCTCCATTGAAGCGGCTTCTGAGGTAATTTGTTTGTTTTAACCATCGAATATCAATTACACAATTCAGTATTAATAGTTCAATTTAATTGTCGGTTTTTAGTCAATTTAGGGTTCTTCTAATTTGAGTTATTGAACTATTGGTTATATGTACTTAAGTTGTGAAAGATTATAACTAGCGATCTTGTTGCTAATTTTGCTATTCGTATTCTTAAGTGAGAAGAACTTGTGATTTTTCGAGTTACTATGATAATTAGTCAACTTTGGTTGCTAATGTGTTTCAGGCTTTTGCTTGTACAACTTGAAACCATGAACATGTTCCTTTTCTTTTGCCCTAGTCACTGGGACAACTATAACTGGTGGGAAATTGTTTCAGAGTTTCAATATAATTCTAATATTCCATGTGATTTTGGGTTGTGATATTAAATTTTCAACTGAACTGGAGATTCAAATTTTTGGGTACCCTTTCAATGTTATGGTCTTGTAATTTGAGTCAAAAGTACAAACTTTTGAAGAATTTGAACATATTATTTAAGAATTTAACGAAGTTATTACATAGAGGACATTAGGTCTCACTCTCATGTTGTTTGCTTAAATATTTGTAATGGAAATATATAAGGCCAAAGCTAATGAATGCCCTAGGGCGTTGGCTTAGATAACTAAAAGTAGAATTATTAGATTGAAATCAACATTAATTACACGATTGATGTGTAACATGCATTCCCAAATCAATACCATTTTAGGAAATAATGTATATGGTTATCTAATGCCCCGTGGCATTCGTTAGCGAGATCCAATATATAATACTAATACCATACTTCTATCACTGAATTCTTCTATTACAGGCAACTTTCTTTGATTGGCTGGTTATTTAGGTGGAGTTTCAAGTTATAACAGCTTAAAGAACTTCGTAGTTCTGTTTGCTAAAGAATTGGTTCTTTGCATGTTATGTTGGCTGGCTGGTAGTGGTTTTTCTTGAGGTCGAATATGTTGCATTTTCTTGCTACTATTTCTGTGCTGAAATCCTCATGGTATTTTGGAATGAGATTGAATACTTGTTGATGACTTACGCTAAGATAGAGTTCTGGATACTTGAAAACTTACCATGGAGCCTCAAAATGAGTTTAAACAAATGTACCACAATTATGTCGTAGCTGGTAATGAAGAAGTTCATCCTGTCTCCGAGAGGTTTATGCAAGATGCTACAAACTGCATAAACATGAACATGAGACCTCCAGAGAGTAGTGCATCAGAAGTCAAGCCAGTTCATAATTTTTCCATACAGACAGGAGAGGAATTTGCTCTTGAGTTTATGCGTGACCGTGTCCACTCGCGCAAACCTGCTGTCTCAAATGCAGTTAATGATCCACATGGTGCTACAAGTTATATGGATCTTAAAGGTATTTTAGGCATCAGGCATACGGGGTCTGAAAGTGGGTCAGATGTATCTATGCTTACACTATCGGAAAAAGGCCCGAAAGAGTTTGAAAGAAAGAACCCATCATTTAATGAGGGGAAAATTACACATGGGTCAATGCAGACAATGCGCCAGAATTCCTCGGCTTATGGAAGTAGTCGAGGTTTGCATGGCTATGCTTCATCTGGAACATCAGATAGTTCATCAACAAAGATAAAGGTACTCTGCAGCTTTGGAGGTAAGATTTTACCTCGTCCAAGTGATGGGAGGCTTCGATATGTTGGGGGTGAGACACGTATAATTCGTATAAACAAAGATATTTCTTGGCAGGAGCTTAAGCAGAAAACATCTGCAATGTTAGATTGCCCTCATACCATTAAGTATCAGCTTCCAGGGGAAGATCTCGATGCTCTGGTGTCAGTGTCAAGTGACGAGGATCTGCAGAATATGATGGAAGAGAGTAATGTTTTGGGTAATGGAGAAGCAATGAAAAAACTCAGGCTATTTCTGTTAACCTCAAGTGATTTGGAGGAAGCTCATTATAGTTTGAGTGGCGGAGATGTGGATTCTGAGTTTCAGTATGTTGTTGCTTTGAATTGCATGGAGATGGGAAGTAGAAAACACTCAGGCATGCATGATATAGCAAGCTCTTCAGCGAATGATCTAGATTCATTAATGGGCCATAATGCTGACAGGGGTATTAACAATGTAGCAGGTGCAGTTGGAGTAAGCAGTTCATCTCATGGTGGAGGTGCTGTCCCGTCAACAGGAATACCACCTTCACAACCAATTATACCTGGAACTTCCAGCAGTCATTTACCCCATCCTCATCAGTTTCAAGGACAAGCGATTCACCTTGAAGAATTTAAGGGGTATCCACTGCACGGTGGTCATGATGTTCATCCCTCTGCACACTTGACCCGGGAGGCAAGTAATACTATTACGTCACAGCATGGAATGTCAACACATCTTCAGAAAACGATAGATGCTCAGGTATGTGAAAACAAATTTAAATATGTAGTTTAAACACTATTATGGAAGAGAAAACGATAGCTGAAGATTCTGTCCACAAAATAACTGATTATTATAATGGATTCGCCTCTCTAAGCTTGATTATATTCTTTCACAATCTCATCAGGGTGACACAAAGGGTAATCTTCCTACTGAAGAAGCATCTGGATCCACTTTCAACAATGCTGTAGTGAAAGATTTCTCAGAGTTACCACCAAAAGGTGAAAAAAGACACAGGGAACATAGCCAGACCTCTCAGTCTGATGCTGTGCATTTACCACGTGTTTTAGAGCCAACCAATCTTGAAAATTTGCACCCTTTTGACTATGAATGTGCTTCTGAACATGCTCACTCAGAACCTAATTCGTTGAATATGAATCACAATGAACTTTCTGCAGCCTCAAGGCCTTATCTCTCAGTGAACATACCTAGGGAGCAGGGAGAGCTGCTGAGCCGGCTAACTAAGTCTGATGACTCCCTTAATGCTCAGTTTCTCATGTCACATTCACATACTTCGGCAGGTCAGGAGGATCCAGTCCCAAAGTCATCTGGAAAATCACAAATTATGAATGCGGTGGCTGAGTCAGCCATGCGTACTGACTCTAGAGTGGTTGACAGTGAAGGAGTTAAATATTCAGCAGATAAAGACAGTGTATCAACAGCACGTGAAGCTAATCCATTTGTTGAACATAACTCGGAAACATCTCTCCCAAACGATAGTCATAGGGGACACCTTGTTGATAGAGGTGAAGTTGAGCAGGCACGTACTGATGCTAGCAAACCATCTAATAGTGAGCAACATGATCGTGCTTCTACTCTCGCTGAGCACAAAAGAGCAGGTGGAGCTGGCCAAAATTCCACCGGTAATGTTGATGAGAGTATCCTTATAGATATCAATGACCGCTTTCCTCGTGATTTGCTATCAGATATGTTCTCGAAGGCTATTTTATCTGAGGAATTATCTAGCATTAATCTGCCGCATGATGGGGCTGGCTTGAGCATGAATATTGAAAACCATGAACCAAAGCATTGGTCTTTCTTTCAAAATCTGGCTAAGGATGATTTTCGGAAAGATGTTTCTTTGATGGATCAGGATCATCCTATTTATTCATCTGGACTTGCCAAAGTTGATGGAGAAGGTCCTGGTGTTTACCAGTTTACACCTTTATCAACAGATGGGATTTCTTCCAGTAATGTTGATTCCCACATGTTTAGTGAATATGATCGCATAGAGTTGCCTGATACTGCTTTGGCTGATCAGGTAGTCTCTACATCAGATTATAACCCCTCCTTGCAGCCAAAATGTAGTGAAGCTGTCCAATATGATGGTGTTGGGGCTCCATACTCGGATTATGAGGTAACTTCATGTTTTTGTTTGAAAAAAAAGGGTAACTTAATGTTTTGTTAATTTATTATTATGAGATGTGATTGGATGTTGACATTATAAGTTTTCCTAACCAATTTAATATTGGCAGGAAGCTAAAAATGAGACAAAGTATGTTGGTCTTCCTCCCCTAGGGCCTCTTGTGGACTTTGACATTAGCACCTTGCAGGTATCATCTTGTCTTTACATGTATTAATAGTTATTTTATTATTATTATTATTAAGTTAGCAAGCTAAAATTCTATTACTTAATTTACAAATCCTTGGATTGAGCAAATCTGTTTTGGAAGGAAAAACTCTAAACACACCAAGATTCTTGTTGACAGTTTTAGTTAATCCTATTTTCTTGTATTAAAGTAAAAAAATTTTCTTAAGATAAAAGAAAATTAAGTTTTAATAGAGAATAGTCTAAAAAAATTGAGCTCACAACAACTATACTTTATGCTGTTCTCACTTTATTTCTGAAATCTCGTTATGGCTTTATCCTATTCCTAACTATTGTTATTTGTAAAAATTACACTGTCAATTGAGAATTCATTCTCCACTAATGAATTTGTAGTGTTGCATTTTACTGGTTGAAATTTTATTCATTTGGTGGAGTAGAATATAAGAAGTATATTATTGATCAGCTAGGAAGAATAAAAAATGTCAACATCGATATAATGGAAGAAGCTTCCTTATGACGTGAGTCGTAATTGCATTAGATTATAGACATCCTTCTAGTAATATAAACTTCGTATCTTCCCCTCGTGTGTGTGTGTACGCGTGCACGCTTGTTTTTATGGCCAGCTATAATGGCTAGCATTATAATGTGATTTTATTCTTATCCACATGTTTACATGGTATGGAGCTCACTTAAATGCTATACGTAAATTGCTTACCTTATTAATGAGGAGGTTGACAGGCTCTCTCCTAAATCCCAAAAGTGAGCTCGGGAATTTAGATACCTATTGCCTCTTGAGAAAATCTTGTAAAGCCATCCTTATTGTTGATTTCTAATATTAGAGTCTTGAGGCCCTTGATATCTTCCAGTTAGAATACTTCTATGTGGAATTATTTCTACTTTACCCCTGAAATTTTGCCATTACAGATGGTACCCCCACCCCCTTCTCTCTCTCTCTCTCTTCCCCACTTAATATTTTTTTCCTTTCAGTTTACATGTTACCTCGGATATATGTGCAGGATTATATAAATCACCCTACATTTGCCTTTTGCAATACTTTTACTGTTAAAATGTTGATCTGTCATTGTAGGATCCATTAAATAAAATGAAATATCAAATTATATATAAGCTTTACCCTTTTTCCAATGCCCCCTTCCTGATATTGCCTCCTCCATTCCCTGCCACCTTTCCCTATCCCCACGGACCCCACCGTCCTTCACCCGACCTCAACCCTCGTTGTGGATCTTTGTGAAAACTATGAACCCCTTAGACTACTTAGCACTTTCAATAGGAACCCCAAAACTGATTCCCAATGCCCAAACTACTTCCCTCTTTCCATCGTTCCTTTCCCTCATTCCTCATTTTCAGTTTTACCCACAAATACAGCATCTCTCTTACTTTATGGCAGCCTAAACTTCTTTACCTTCCTCCCAATCCTACGGCTTATTATCCACCTATTCCGAAGCTGAAAAAAGTTACTTGTATGGGGGCAGAATTCCAACCTGCTCAATGAAGGCAGTTTGGTAGTTCCCCATTGGGCAAACTCCCTTACCCTGATTTTTTCTTTTGGACCTGAGGGCATTGAGGCAGCGTAGCCAACCTCAAATTATGAGGAGGGCTGCATGTTCTATTTCATGATAAAATAGTTCTTTTGAATACAGATCATCTCATTCGTTGAAGACTCTTGTGTGTTTCCTTCTTTTAAGAGACCCCGTTTGATCTGGGCAGCATCTTTCAGAATATGAAGGGGGGGGGGGGGTTGGAACCCTTTACAATATTTGGATCTTGATCTTTCTTGGTGGTGTCCTTGATATTTGTTGAAAACGACATGGATTGTCTTTGAGTTGGGTTTCAATCCTTCATCTGTCTGTTTGTGATACGTAACCATAACCTGTGCTCAAGGCTATGAGTCATCATACGGAGATGCTGAGGATGCAGATTGCCAAAAACACTCATATGGGCCCGACGTCATCATCTCGCCCCTGGCTGTCACTTTCTCACCCGACTCTCCCTCCTACCCCCTCTTATTGACCAGCAGGGGAGTGACCACATTACCTGATTGTCGCCCACTGGTGCAACTGTCTATTACCTGCAGTTGAATTTAAAAGAATTACCACCAACTAGTCTAGGTATAAGCAATTTTGGTATCTTTTTCCTCTCATTCTCCCTGTTGCTGCTCGCCATCACTCATGGACCACCCAATAGTTATTGTTGTGCCTCTCTTGTTCTCCACTGCCATTCATTCTTTTGCTGTTGTGCTTCCCTTTTTCTCCACTGTCATTCATTCTTTGCTTTGCTCTCTGCTGTTTGTGCTGGTGGGTAACTGGTTCAAGCATGAAGGCAGCTAAGGTCAAAGAGAATGAGAAATGGAAAAAGGGAGGGATATTTGACTGCTTTCTCTTGATTGAAAATTTGAGATTCTGAAGCTCAATTCTCAAGGGTACTTTGTGAAACCTTGTGAAGGTTGTGAACAAATTTTTTTCTAGGAACTGTATGTAAATGGCAAATAGTGAAGGAGTATGTATAAAGTTTCTTAATATATCTTTAAAGATGAGTTTGAGTGCTATATTGGTCCTCATCTTCCACAATTGATTTGCCAAGCTGTTGTGGGTTGGTTTTGAGGAAAACAATTTCCTTTTGCAATCATCAACAGTGTTAGTTTTCATATATACCACTTATAAATATAATGCATTTTGCTTGCAAAGCTTTGTCAATCATGGTGAAGTGGTTCTGAGTCTTCTCACACACTTGTTAAGCATATTTGTCTTAGAATATTGAAAGGCATTTAAATTGAGTATATGTGTTCGCTTCCATATCAATCAGTCAATCAATCAATCAAAGCCTTAATCCCCCACTTATGGGAGTAAGGCTTTCGTTGATTGATTGATTGATAGTGTGTTAGCTTCCATATTTACTAGCTAGTAGATTGAGATTTAGTCAGACTGGTTGATAGTGTTGTGGCAGTGCATCTGTTTTGCTTCTGGAATGACTCCCTTTAATTGTTTTTCCTGTTCTTGCAGATTATAAAAAATGATGATCTTGAAGAGCTTAGAGAACTGGGTTCAGGAACTTTTGGCACTGTGTATCATGGAAAATGGAGGGGAACAGATGTTGCTATTAAGCGAATAAAGAAAAGTTGTTTTACTGGTCGTTCATCAGAGCAAGAAAGATTGGTAATTTTTTCTATATTCCTAAATTGTTATTTGACCAATATTTTGTACCTTCTTCCATTATAATTTGCCTACAGATGATAATGATTCCCATAACTTGGAAAATAAAATTTGTGGCATACCTCTCTCTCTCTCTCTCTCTAAATGTATAATGTTGCATGTCTTACTGCAATGTTTTTTGCTTCATGCTCAATATTTTAAAGTTTCCAAAGTGTAGAGAGACTGTTTCTTCCCACCTCATCATAACAAAGCTTATATATGGATATTAATTAATCCTCTCTACTACTAAACCATTAACTATTTTACAATCGTCACGCATAGATTCTGCCAGGAACACAGGGTCTTGGTAGGGTTTTATGCAATTTTAGATGTACATAGTCAGAGCCTTGTCTTAATAGTCAAAACTGGAAGAATTTTTGTTTCTGTTTCTGTAAGACTGACATGACAATTTCTTCTTTTTCTTACTAAGTTGGATGTAAGATACCTCTTATTCTTCTAATTTGCATTTATGTTTTGCAATTCTCTTAGACTGTAGAGTTCTGGCATGAAGCTGAAATCCTCTCAAAGCTTCACCATCCAAATGTGGTGGCATTTTATGGCGTTGTTCAAGATGGACCTGGAGGAACATTAGCCACAGTTACAGAGTTTATGGTTGATGGTTCTTTGCGGCATGTTCTTCTTAGGAAGGACAGGTAGAGATTCTGGCCCTGCTTTAGCTTTTGTTCTCAGAAGAGGAGTGACTAACTCCAATTTTTTTGTTTGGCTAAAAGGACTGTACTTCACTCTATAATCTGAAATCTTAAATAAGTTAAGTGTCAAAAAAATACAACCTATTCTGTTGTGATCAGGGATTGGAGTAAATTTATTTTAAAGGACTTCCTTGATGATTTATACTTCCTCCGTTTTTTTATTATTGTACCATACAAGTTGGACACAATAATTTTGGTGGTGGGAAAAAGGAAGAGAGAGAAAGTTAAAAATACAAAAGTGTCCATGTGATGTAAACATAGACTAAATAATAAGTGTAAAAGTAAGGGTATTTTGGGTATTTGTAGTGTGAACATAGATATTTTTTGTCCTAAAATAGAAATGGTGCAATGCTTGTGAAACTTCCTTAAAAGGCAAGTGGTGCAATATTAAAAGAACGGAGGAAGTATATGTTTTTTCAATAGCTAAAGGAGCCAGACAATTTATCAATCTTTGGTTTTGGAATAAAATGGACTAAATTATAATGGAAAATAAACTGTTTGGTCTTGGATTTTATTCCGTACCCAAAGATTGATAAATCTTCTTAGGCAGTTCATCAATCTTATACATCCCACTTTTCTTCTTCAATGTCGTATTATGTAGGCATCTGGACCGCCGCAAGCGACTGATAATTGCAATGGATGCTGCATTTGGAATGGAGTATTTACATTCAAAAAATATTGTGCATTTTGATTTGAAGTGTGACAATTTGCTCGTAAATTTGAAAGATCCTTCACGGCCCATTTGCAAGGTATCTTTATTATTTGTAAAAAGCGACAAGTCTTTTTTTTCTCAGGTCCATATGAAGGCGACTTGCATTTTGTATCATCAATTCCAAACAACTTATTATGTCTTGTTCTACCATTAGGTTGGTGATTTTGGTCTATCAAAAATCAAGCGAAACACATTGGTATCTGGTGGAGTAAGAGGAACTCTACCATGGATGGCTCCTGAACTTTTAAATGGAAGTAGCAGTAAGGTCTCCGAGAAGGTAATCCCTTGTTATTTTGGAGAAGCTTTGTGGCCTCGATGAAGTCTACTCTACTTTTGTCAACTCAAACTTCTTCAACATACTCGAACAGTCAAACTAGCACCGATTTTTAAGTATGCTTTCATTGCTTTGTCTTACTGATTACTGTTTTCTGGATCAGGTTGACGTGTTTTCTTTTGGAATTGTACTATGGGAAATCCTCACTGGGGAAGAACCCTATGCAAACATGCATTATGGTGCCATCATAGGTACGTGTACAGTATTCGTGTTTTTAGATTTCCTCCACTAATGATAGTTGCAATTACTGCTGCCTCTTTTCATTAGTGCTTGACACTCTTGTTATCTGAGGCTATGATGTCTTGTTTAGAAATGGCAAAAGGTCAGATTTGGATTAGGTGTTGCAGATTTCAATTCTGATTTGATTACTGATCAGAATTAAGATCTGATCTGGCTCAACTCTGACCCAAATTGGAGCCTTTTGACTCAAACTCTGGCCGTTAACTATTGCTACAAAGCTTTCATAGATTTAACATCTTCCATGATTTTTTGTTGAACTATATAAAATGATTTGAAACCTGTAACGAACTTTTAAAAAAAAAAAATCATTACCCTGAATAATCTTAATTTAATAGATCCTCTGTTTTTTTAGTTGTGCCATCTGAGTTTTTAATCTTTATGACATGTATTTTTTCGATAATATCATTAATTATGTAGTCAACAGAGTTATAATTTGTATTTAGTTCAAAATTTCAAATCAAAGTGAACTCAATTAGATCCCATTTAGCTATATTTTCTATACCATATCACTCTATTCTTGAGATTGCCTCATCCCCTTATTCACTTTATCAAGAGTTCAAATTTTCTCTTTATCATGTGGGGTAGTAAATGTAATTTAAGTAGATAGAAATTATGGTGATTATGCTATCTAAAAAGGAATGGGAGCAATGTTTTGGGGACAACCTGAAAGGTAAATGAGGCAATCTTTTAGGGAGGAATAGAGAGAAGTTTAACTGTGCGATTTCGATCGTTTGGGCCGGACTCCGTTGGAATTTGTGAAGTATCCGATTCTGACCCAACTCTTTTCTGGAGTCGGATAATACCTTGGATTTTGATTCGAATAATTCTTTTTCAGATTCAGCTTATATTTTTTGCTTCGGATTGTGTCTGAATCTTCAACCCCTAGTCATATTACCTTCGTTTCAATAATTCTTTTTGTAAAATATTGTTGGATTGATTCGAGTAATTCTTTTTCAGATTTAGCTTATATATATATTAACTATTTTGTAAAATATTGTTGGATTGATCTCAATGCATATTTTCAAAATATAATTTTATAAACTTTTTTTTTATTAATTAATGTATGCAACATTTATTGGTCAAAGTGGTGTTTTGAAAAGTAAGGAAGTCAAAACATTGCATCTATTGTGAAACAGAAGTAGAATATTTGTGGCAACCAAAGTGTTTTAAGTCATGATTATTGGTAGTATAATAAAGCTGATCAATTTGTTGGTGTCAAAAGAATGAAATATAAATTATAGATTCGAACTGCTTCTTACACATTAATAATTGCTTGTATAAAAAAGGCCCCCCTTCCCCTTTTTTTTCTCTCCCCCTTGAGAGTGCATGTGAGATTTTGAGCTCATCTCATCTCCGGAAGTGCTTTGTTTCTTTGGCTCATATACTTGATTAGATGGTCATGTGAAAAAATTAAAGATCGTATGGATAAAAATATTTTGAATTGAGTTTGTGTTGTGAATGGCTCTGTGATCATTAATGACAATAACGTGCCTATATTATGCCATTTAGTTGAGATTCAGTGTTGTGTTTTTTGGCATGTGCTTGTATATCTTTGCTGTATTATGGTCTAAAATCTTCCCTCTTTGCCATCTTCCTCTCCAGTAAATTTAGTTCCGAATTTCTGTCGTTTGTGTAGTTTCTTTTTCTATTGGTGAATATATTTATGTTGTTTCCCTTTATCACTCTGTTGAGAAAAAATGGGAGGTGTGGTTGGAGTTGGTGGTGGCACCTATAACAGAGATGTTTTTTCATAATGCAGGGGGAATTGTGAATAACACATTGAGGCCTCCTATTCCCAATTATTGTGATCCCGAGTGGAGAGTGCTCATGGAACAGTGCTGGGCTCCGAATCCTTCGGCTCGGCCTTCATTTACAGAAATTGCGGGTAGATTACGTTCAATGGCTGCTGCATGCCCAACTAAATCTCCGGGTCCAAAAGCATCTCACTAGTTTATCATCCATTCGATGCAGTTTTTTATGGCATATATCAATATTGAAATATAAAGCTTCTCTAAGTAAATGTATTTTACACACTTAATTATCAGCTCCCCTCAGTGTATTTTCTGAAGCAGGAGCTATATATTCGTAGATACACCGTCAATCTTGTCCTAAATTTCATATTCACTTTGATAATTTGCAGAACCTCGATCATTTATTTTGTACAGAAGTGTGGTTAAACTTGTGACAACTTTGCCATTTTCATATGTAATCTCCTTTGGCTAAGCACTTATTGATTATCGAGTATATTCAATCAAGTGTATGGATGTGTGTTTTCTTGGAGAAATTCTATTAGCGTTAAAATGCATAACCAAATTGGGAGTGTATGGATTATCGAGTGTATGGATGTGTGTTTTCTTGGAGAAATTCTGTTAGCGTTAAAATGCATAACCAAGTTGGTGTCTCAATTTCGGCCGATTGGGTTATGTAATGTTCTGTATAAATGCATTGCTAAGTGCATGACGAGTTGTCTGCGGGAGGTTCTTCCTTCTCTTATTTCCGGGTTTTAGAATGTTGTTCCAGGTCGCTAATGCTCTAGCAGCTCACGAGCTTCTTTCTTTATGAATGCTTCTAAGGCCAGGAAACGCTTTTATGCAGCTCTGAAGTTAGATATGAATAAAGCGTATGACAGAGTGGGCTGGGATTTTTTAAGTCAGAGTGTTACGGGCCTTTGGGTTTTCTCCTTATTGGGTTCATATCATTGAGCAATGTGTTACAACTGTTCTTATCAAGTCTGGTGAATGGGAGCCTTACGCCTTTCTTTTGTCCACAGTGTGGCCTTCGGCAAGGGGATCCCCTTTCGCCATATTTGTTCGGCAAGGCGGAACACTAGTCTTTATTTTCTGGCCATCGAGTCTCTAGGGGTGGTCCTTCGGTTTCCCACCCCTTTTTTGCAGATGACTCGCTGTAATTTTTCCAAGTTTCACCGCAGGCTTGTAATGATGTTCTGGCCATCCTTACTGCATTCTGTTCTGCTTTCGGCCAAATGATCAATCTTCAGAAGTCCTTTGTCAAGTTTAGTCCGAATACTCCCCCAAACTACCGGGATTTTTTGTCACGCAGTCTTGGGCTTCAGTCGAAGGATTCACTTGGGACTTATTTGGGTATGCTTGTCGACCTGGGATGAAGTAAGGTTTCGGAGTTCAAGTTTTTAATTGATAAGGTTGCTAACCACTTATCCGCCTTTGCTTCTTTGCGTCTGTCAGTAGCCGCAAAATTGGTTATTATAAATTCGGTGTTGGTGGCATCCTTTAATCACATTTTGGCTATTTTCAAAATTCCGTCTTCGGTGGCTTCCCAACTTGACAGTTTATTAGCCAGTTTCTGGTGGAGATCTTCTGGTTCTATGAAGAGCTTGGCCATGCATTCGGCTTCTCTCTTGCATTTGCCAAAGGGTTGGTGGGGGGGGGGGCTAGGATTACGTAGTGTTGCCTGTTTTAACTCTGCCCTTCTAGCTAGTACTGGGTGGAGGATGATCCACAATCCTTAGTTTTTGATCTCTAGAATCATGTTTTATAAGTATCCCTCTTTTGCTACTGCTCCGGGCATTCGGATTCCTAGGTTTTCTTGGGGCTGTAAGGGTTTACAGATGGCAATGTCAGCAGTAGCTTCTGGTGTTCGGTGGAAGGTAGGTAGTGGTACGAGTGTTCGCATTACCGAGGACGACTGGGCCCCAGTTGGTCCGATTTCGTTTAAAGCTGGTTTATCTCAGTCGGATCTTCCGACTCATGTGTCTGAGATTATTGATCCGTGTTCTAACGCGTGGGATCACTTGAGGGTCCATCGGTTTTTTGACAGTCCAACGGGTACTCGGATTCTCAATCTGAATCGTCCTATGAAGCTCATGGACGATTTTGTGTATTGGAAATTCACTAAGGATGGTTCTTTTTCTACGAAGTCTGCTTATGCTCTCTTGCTTATGCAGACTTCCGGTAGCCTCTCTAAGGGACCACTTCCCTCCTCCTGGTGGGGGAAATTCTAGGGCCTCCCTCTTCTTCCTAAATGGAAGATCTTCGGATGGAAAGTTATTCAGTCTGGCCTTTCGGTGGCTGCTGTCCTAGCTGCTCGTGGCCTGTCTATTGACTTTGTTTGCTATTTTTGCCACAAGGAACAGGAGACCGTGGACCATTTGTTTAGAGACTGTGACTTTGTTGTCTCTCTAGGGGTCCGGAGTTCTTTTCGGTTTACTCCTTCAGGTCTTCGTTGCCTTCCTTTTCTTTAATGGTTTTCCTCAATGGTCTCTTTGCTGAGGGTTGCTAAGGATTGGGAGAATTTGGTTCGATTCTTTGCTCTGTTATGGGCTATCTGTAATCCCCCGTAATTTTGTGAAATTTAAAATTATATTTTAACATATTTTGTGAATATTTGATTATGATTATTTATTTACATAAATTATTTTACTATGATTTAAGCAAATAAATTTAATGTTTATAAAGCTAATTAAGCTATTTCATTAAATTATTTCCCTACCCATATTTTAATCATGCATTAATATGCAAGCCCAACCCATAAATTACTAAACCCATTATTTTACCTAAAATCCACTCACTTTAAGCCCAAATTTTAATCCTAGTTTTATTAGAACTAGGAAACTCAAGACCCTTATTTCTGCTCTAATCTCACGTAAAACCCCAATCCCCTCACAAATTCTACAGCTTTGCCTCTTCTTCCTATTCACGCTTAAACAAACAAAAAAAAAAATTGCTTGCTGCTCGGCGACACCAGCCACCACCGACGCCACCACTGCTGCTCCGGCGTCCACCACGGCCCCTCCTTGACAGCAGTTCGCCCTTCTCTCCTTCGTCCCTCTTGTTTTCTCTTCTTTTGTTAATTCAACCCAAGTTTAAATATTTATCAATTTTTGTTATTTAATTGTTATTATTATGGTTTGATTATGTATTATAAAAGATTATAAATTTATAAGTTTTATTATGTTTAAATTATGCATCAAAATTTAAGCATGATTATATTGTGATTCTACTATGATTATGATGATGTTTAATTCAAAAGCAAGTTTTCAATTTTTCATAATCAATTTCTGATTTACGTTCTTAATTTCTATTAATCACGTTTTAATCACGTTTAGATTCTAACTCATCCGATTTTTGCAAAAAAATAGTGTTTTTTGTGTGCAAACGACATTTTAATCAAATCTCACTACCTTTGGTAATGAGCACCACCCTCTCGTGGCCAAATTCAGCCTCTAAATATGGTTTTCAGGAAGTTTTAGATTTTTAACGAAGGTTTAATGTGATAAATAAATTTTCAGATTATTAAAAATTAAGATTTGGGGATTTAAATCATTCTAAATCATGTTTCTTAGAGTTCTTAATACACTACATGACCATTATGATTAATTTATGTTAATGGTTTTTTTTTTTAAGTATCAAGTTTGAAGTTTAAATTAAATTTTCAGATTTTTGTAATCTGAATTTTATTGTTTTGGTATAAAAAATAATAGGTTTTAATGTTTCTACATGTATATTTAAACTATTATTCCATTATTACAAGTATGGGTTGTTAGATTTGCAAAGGATGCGTATAAACTAAATTTTCAGACTTGGTTAGTAGCTAAGACATGCTATAATTTCATATATAAAGATGTATTTTAAGTTTTACGAAGGAAACATAAATAACTATACAAAGTTTTTAATTCTAGTAAAGGGAAGATTTTAAAGTGTTATTTAATTAAATTTTGGAGGTTTTAAAGTAAGTTAGTATTGCTGTAAATTATATTGCTTAGGTATTGATTGAATTATTATTGTTTGGTTTATGAGAGGACTTTGTAGAAGGCGATCTAGTTCCTAAAATGGCCAACCAACTCGTTTACTCAAGGTACGTACAAGGATACGAAAACCTTGACTTTAAAAGCATGTTTAAGGACTTGGAAAACCTTAGAATCATGTTAGGAAACTTGTAGATTGGTTGGAATTGTATGGTATTAAGTTTGATTGGTGATTAATGTGGTGATTGGTTTTGTTTCATGTATGAGGAATGCGTATTAATTTATCTTGTAAGTATTATTTATGCATTAACATGCAAGATGAGCTTAGAGGCAAAGGTACGTGAATATGTGGAATGAATTATTTTAATATTCGTTTATGTTTATTGAAATGGAATGAATAAAGGGAGAATTAAAGTCTTATAAGACGAGGTCGAGGATTTGAGGTGCTTTATGCACTTAAGGTGTTTATACACCGAGGTAGTTAAAGGATTCAATACTAAATATTGTTTGTCACTAATAAATCAAGAATTGAATTAAAAATTTGAATTGTTTGAATGATTGATGTATGATTGGGTGTGTTGTTTTGCACTTGAGTCATCACCAAGTTTAAACCTGTAAATCACGTAAAATGCAAGATGGATGAGCAATAAAACTCTGGATTTGTGCACATCTAGAGTATTGACAATCAGTGGTTGGGGTTCACGGGGTATTAGTCGTGTACTTTCTAGAGGCCGTCTGATCTACCAGTTTCTTGTTTACAAATATTTTTCTTTAAATTATAAGGAGTTAGATGAGATCTCATACTAGCTATGGCCACGAAGTTGCGCCCGTCTGCCATTGGATGTTTATTAATGTTTCCGAAAGGAGGCATAGGGTTTTTCTTTTATTGATGTTTCGAATTGGAGCATGGGGAGACAATCTGATCTATTGCTTAATCCAATCAATGAATGAAATGAATTATTTATTATTAAATAGAGAAGTCTTAGTAATGTTAAGTAAATAATTAAATTGTGTGTGTGGTTTGCTTATTAGTAGTACGCTAGGAATTCTTTCTTATATTACGTAGCTTGTATGTACTCAGCGTTGCTGAATGTGTGCTTTTGTGTGTCTTTTCTTGGTCATGGCCTTCGCCTTTCAATGACCCTATAATGATCCGATTTTTACACTTGTAATATTGGTGAGCAGATTAATCACAGGTTTATACATAATCAGAACTTGCATCAAGGTGGTGGGATTTTGAGTGGAGTGTTGGATATTTCCACAGTATATTTCATTTCATAAGTTTGGATTAATTTTAACTCTGGTTTGATTTATTTACAACTTTTATTGGGTTTTGAATAAGGGCCTTAATGGTTCCGACTTGTAAGACTAAATTTGGTTTTGATTTTTAGTTTTGAAACTTATTTATAACTGAGTTAGTTTTTCTGCTCCTAAACTCTGAACTAGCCTTAACGTTTGAACACGTGGCGGTAGTACGTCAGTAATTCTCTTGCAAATTGTTAAAGGTACTTACAGGTTTTTAAGAGAGA